TTCATGCTAAACAATCCATACAGATTTTGCTTTCGTGTAAATTTTGCTGGCTCTGCATACACGGATAGAACCTGATACTAACTTCCTGGCAGCATCTCTGGGCTTACTCAGAGGTAGAGCTGTGTTTTTTCTAGTATTACAGCTGATGGTTGACAGCTAATCCTAATGGAAAAGCAATGCCACATTTGCTAATCCTAACAGAATAGCTAAACCACTTTCACTTTCAATCCAAAAATCCAAAATCAGATGAGTTTTTTTTCCTTTCTTTTTATTACTTCATATTATGGGGGTACAGATATTGTTAGGGTTACATAACTTTACCCCCCTCCCTTCCCCACCCCGCTATGCCAGAGCTTCTAGCGTGTCCAGGCGGTGCCCACGGAACCCACCTTGTAAGTGCATATCCTTCCCCTCCTCCCCTCTTCCACCTGCCCATTTCCCGATTGCAGATTTTTTTTTTCAGACATTTTGGTTACAATGTATATCTTTACCTCTCCCTAAAAAGGGATGGAGATAATCCCTTGCCCCCCACAATGCTCACCACTTCCTTAAGATGTGGGTCTCCCCCCTCCAAATCCCTGTTGAACACTACCGTTTTTTGAGCACCGTAGTTTTAGTCGGTCAGTCCCAATTTGATGGCGAGTAGATGTGTAGCCCATTGTCCAGATCTTGTGTCTGTCTGGCTTTGTATTACGGGTTTAGGCTTAATCCAGGATAACATAAATGGTGCTAGCTCACTGTCATTTCTTAGGATTGAGTAATATTACTCAGATGAGTTTTTTAAGCAAGATACCATTATTTCATACCTGAAGAAACAGGAAATAAATCAGTCCTAGAATTTTGTTAATCGTAGGGATTATAGAACATAGTCAAACCTAAGGGTGTACTGGTAAATGTTTACAATGGCATGCTTTGGAGTGGAGTGAAGTGGTTGTACTGTTTGCCAACTTCCATGTTTACATATTCCCAACATGGCTCATTTTAAGCTTCCAACATGCTGCCAACTGTCTGTCAAAATACTTGAAAATTTAGCAGTCAGCTCTAGTGGACCAGTGCAACTTAACTCTACCACCTCACTGGCCCAGCCCTTCCATAACACAAGTGATTTCACCTATAATGCCAAAAGGTATATTCTAATAAAATACAACTTATTTGTGGATTTCTCTGTGATACACATGATAAAATATTTTCTAATCTATACAATATTGTGGCAATCTTAATTGCCATTGATTTCTTCAGGTATGAAATAGTGACTAGCCCAGATCTAATAAATAATGGAATTTATATTTCAATATAATTTTATTTATTAAAAAGTAATCATTTGTACTTCACTTTTTTTTTTTTTTTTTGAGACAGAGTCTCACTTTGTTGCCCAGGCTAGAGTGAGTGCCGTGGCGTCAGCCTGGCTCACAGCAACTTCAATCTCCGGGGCTCAGCGATCCTACTGCCTCAGCCTCCCAAGTAGCTGGGACTACAGGCATGCGCCACCATGCCCGGCCAATTTTTTGTATATATATTTTTAGTTGGTCAATTAATTTATTTCTATTTTTTGGTAGAGATGGGGTCTCGCTCAGGCTGGTTTCGAACTCCTGACCTTGAGCAATCCGCCTGCCTCGGCCTCCCAAAGTGCTAGGATTACAGGCGTGAGCCACCACGCCCGGCCTGTACTTCACTTTTATTTCTTATACTGTTAAGGAATAAGTTTTAGAAGTACTGGGATACTGGTTGAAGACTCAGTGGTCAAAAGGGGTTTCTGCTCTCAGAGATCTTCTCATGTAAGTGTCTTCATATTTTTCTCTTTTTTATTATGTTGGAACAAAAAACCAGAAACAAATAATCAACAATGTTAAAAATAATTTTATTAAATATTTGACTGAGAACATACAACCTTAGTTAAACATTGATATGTATTCCAGATATGATATTTCTGGTCTTCAATTTGAAAACTCATTTGTAAAATAAGAAAATTTGAAATAGATATAAGGTATTTCTGACAGCAAAATGTCTATGATTCTTTGAGTCAAATTGATATGTATGATACCCTGAATATGTCCTCAGCATTCTTATACATTTTGGATCATTTATTAATGATGTCTATGTCTTAATTCTGTATATGATGAGCTAAATTGTTAGCAGTGAAGATATGTGTTTAGGTGTAGTTCATTAGATATCTAATGAACTACAGTCTAGTGTTGCATGAGCATTTAAGTTCTATTCTCTAAGATTACCATTTCTTATACTTCTGAAGTTATGTGAATAATATCTAAAAAGTTAGATCATTAATCTGTTATATGTGTGTTTAAGTTTGCAATAACCATGCTTACAGAGAAATAAAACCTACAAATCATCCAGGTGAGTCAATCAAAAATAATTTAGTAACCTTTATAGTTCCTTATTTTTTGAAAGTCACTTCCCCAAAACGTATACCATAAATTCCATCAAACTATCTCTCAGAAGAACAAATTTTTAACTATGTTATGTTTGCTGTCCATGAACAAATTATATTCTCTAAGTATCTTTCTAGAACCAAATTTCATATTGGTATAAGAAAACCCCCAATTTTTTAGATGATTTGTAGATTCAAAACATTTCCTCTATTCTGTTTGTTAATAATTGTCTTGGTTCACACACTTTTGTCTATTTTCAGGTATTGTTTTCTTATACAATTGCAGAGTTTAGAAAGAAATATTTTATTTCTGATATTACCAACCTTAAAGTACAATGTCTTGTCAAAATAAAATTATTTAATGAGACAAAATAAATGTTAAAGAAAATAATTTAGGGTTGAAATTGGTTTTCATATTAAGTAAATAACCTCAGAGCTACAAGTACTTGCTAAGTTTGAAATACTGTATTACATTTTAAATGCCACTCAAAGACTTTAATGTTACATGTAGTAGAATGAAAATGAGTATTACTATGTGGCCTCCTACATTATTGGCTTATAACACTGGGAAAGTAATGATTATATACTAAGATCATGACTGAGTATTGAGAATTATAGATATTGATGCTATACAAGTGAAACAGAATACAGGAACCACAATGTATGTTTGTAAACAACTAGGTAATAGATTGTTTGTGTTGATACCTCTGCTTTCTTTATTGTCCAAATCAAGTTAGAACTGGGTTAGCCTTTAGATCTATGAAAAGTCTGATCCATCACATTGCACTATAACATTATTCCCCCAGGGGGTCTAAGAAGTAGGTCATAGGACCAGTATAGGAGCTATTTTTCACCTCATAATTCCATGCCTAAGGCCAAGAAAACTTCATTAAATGAAAATTTCAACTGTGAGTAAGTAGAGAAGTTCCTACTAAACCAAGATTATGGGTATGAGTCAGTCAGATTTGTCAAATTTCCTATGTGATCGTCTTCCTATCTTGAAGATAGCAATGCCTGAAAAGCACTGATAATTCCACTACATTGTAATATTTAAATATCAAAAATATCCATAGCTGGGGGCATAATTTAGTTTATTTTGAAAAATATATTTAGTATACTAACCTTTCAAAGTCTTTTGAATATATATTGTTTTGAAATGTTTTAAATAATGAAAAGATTTTTTAAGTATTATTAGAACTTTTTAATGAAGATCTCAAAGCAAAAACTATTATGTAAGATCTTCATAATTTGTGAATTTTTATCATAGTGTAGGAAGAAAGAAAGTCTTTGTCTTGGGGCTCAGAACATGAACTTCAAAACGAAGGCCTCAGAAGCAGCCTCAAAAGCAAAAGTTTCTCTCTGTCCATCTCCTGAACTTTTGTCTCTCTCACCCTTTATTTTCCCCTGAGGCTAGCCATGAAAATTAAAATCCCTCTTCCCCAAGGTGGGTCATAGAAACCAGAATCCCTTTTCCACAAACCCAGCCATAAAACCTAAAAATATTGCTCTAACTTTCCCCTGCCTTTCTGTGTAATAACTGGCCAGAGAGAAATTTTCTAACCTACGTTTTTCATTATCATAAGGCCCTCATCCCAGAGATGGACCTGTCCCATACCCGGAAGGAAGAAATGCTGCACAGAGGCTAAGAAGAATCCAAACAGACAGGCCTTGCTGGGTTTCCCCAGTCTGTTAGCATTAGATCATACATTTTTTTTTGTCCAGTCATATTTCTACATGACTGTCCATACTTCATTGAACCTAAATATAAAAATGGAGAATTTTCCTTGTATCTTTGGGTCTTCATTCTGAAGGTTCCTGTGTGACATACAACTATGATCAAATAAATTTGTTATGCTTTTCTTTTCTTAACCTGATTTTTGTTTTAGGGGTGTTGACATGACCTTTATGATTATTTGGAGAAGATACTTACTTTTGTAAATTTGGTAGGTAAATACGTGTTGCTTTTCTAAGGCAAAATGCGGTTTTTAAAAAAATCTAAATCTTTAATTTGGGGAGTGAATATATATTGTCAGGAAGTGTCTTCCACTCATTCAGGTACATGTACTATTGAAAAGTACTTTAAATGCATTTCAAACTTTCCAAGGAATTCTTTTTTAATAATTTTAAATTTGATTCCCACATTAAATCACATTAATCATATTAAAAAATATAGGAATGGTGACTGATTTAAATAAAAATTGCTCTTGGATGTAAAATCAAATTTGTCTTCCTTAACCCTTCCTCCAAAGCTAAATCAAAGTAAGCAGAAAAGTAGGCAGCCCACTTCTTGTGGTGTGTAATGTCATCATCTACTGCCGATCCCTAGAACATTTACAAGGCAGATCAAATCATTGCTCAGTGTTAAATTCTGTTCAGACTGATTTTTTTTTCTTTTCTTCAAGAACAAATCTATGTTTTTTAAAATGTTATATATTTAATTTTATTAACCATTTATTTATGTATCTATTCATTTTTGAACTTAAATTTATCTCCTTCCTTTCCCTCCTTTTTTTTTTTTGTTGTTGTTGTTGTTAATTGATGAGACATCATTGTTCCCTCTGCTGTTTTCCAAGAAGTCAGTCATTAACATTCTCTAGTTTCCATAGAAACAAATATTGCTCACTGGTGATGGTTGATCATGTATTTACTTACAAGGTAACTTTTATCTATGTCCTTAAAGAGTTAGCTTAAGATATTTGCCTCTCTTTAGAATGAACCCTTTTTAGTACTTTAGGTGCTCAGATCTTGTAATGATATGAAATAGCTAAAAAAAACACCTTCAAAAGAGTCAGATACTGCCATTCTTATGGATCAAATTTATCAGTATAGTTTTTAATATGAGATTAACATAAACTCATATTTAAATTAGGTGGTCATTTAGATATAAATTCCAGCATATCCTTTATAATGCTAAATATATTAAATTCTTAATTTAATTTGGTTGAGATGGGACCTATCTTAGCCATGTAATAATTTTCAGAAAATGACCTGTGGGATGAGGATGGCAATTAAACCCAAACTGAGGATACAGAACTGATCTAAGATATATGGTCTTTTGTAGATCCATTAAATGCATAATATAACTGCCATATGTTATTTTCACCAAGGAAATGACTGAAATGACATTTTAATATTTAATTATAATATAATATGGTCTTGTTTATAAAAAGTTATATTTTGATTCCAAGTAATATTTTATTTAATAAATGAGTTAACTGTGCAGGTTAATACACATATTGCACAAGGGCATGCTAATTAAATTGAAAATTAGCTCAGGGAAAAATTGTCATGAAATATTTTTAACGTGCTAAGAGCAAAGATTATTTGTGTATTTATAATACCTAATATCAATGTTTCAAAAACATCTTTCATATCCATTTTCTTTTGCAATTTAACTCTGTCTTGGTATGAGCTAGTATTTAAATTCAAAGGTAAGCTAGTATTTAAATTCAAAGCTAGTATTTGAATTCAAAGGTAAAACCACTGTTTTAAAATTTTATAAAATTTAACAGAAAGGTTCATAAATCAGTATTTTCTGGGATTATTGTGGTTAACTTTCAGATTGTTCTTTGAAGCTTAACGAAAAAAGAAATTAAGCATTTTCAAAGACTCATTTGTCACTATATCATATCTCTTGCCCCCAATTTAATCATTACAGTATTCTTTTAATAAGGAAAAGCTATACAAATTTTCTGTCTCTCATATTCCTCATCAAAAGTTCCAGAATTGTTAATTGTTTTGCCAAAGAATTTATATTTTAAATAAGTAGGTACAACATTTTTTCTACTAAAAACCATAGTAATTGAAAGTGATTTTGTCTAGTTTACTGTTGAGACTTTGGTTTTATATCAGTGAGAATATTAATTATATTACTTCAGGAAACCATTATTAGCACCTTTAAGTTTCTCATCCCTGTCTTCCTCAATTCAGGAGTGGTCACCAAATGAAACAATAGGTTTGATTGGGAGCATAGTACCCTAAATATTATTTTTTAATATGGGCTGACTCTGTCTGACCAGGAAAAGCTCTGAGTAACAATCTTATCTTCTGCTGTTTAACATACAGAAATATTGGCTTTTTCATCTCTTTGAGTCTACTGATCTTTAGTAATTTAAATTACAGGCCACAGATGGAGAACCTTGCTTGTACCTTTGCTTGAAAACTGGCAGATTCTTGCCTGGTCTTATCTTTTTCTTATAGGATTTTGCTGGAAGTAGCAAAGAACTGAATTCTATGTTTTTCCAACCTGTTCCCCTACAGCTAACAAGTTCAAAGGCATTTGTTGTGACTCTTAATTAATTATCATTGGGTATAGCAAGTTCATCAAATATTTTTCCACAGAACAAGTGTCATAGCATATCAGCATATGATCCAACTTTTCTTCTGCCTGCTATACAAACATCAAGGCAATGCCATGTATTTTAAACTTTTATTGCTGAAAAGCTCCAATTCTAGGTCCTAATTTCTGTATTAGTTAGTCTTCAGGCTATACTACTGAAACAAAAGACCCATATTCAGTGGCTTGAATGGCATAAGAGTTTACTTCACATAAAACAGTATAAAAATGAATTGTCCAGGGTTGGTGAAAATGATCTGCTCCGTGAAAACATTTAGGGATCCAGGTTCCTTTCATTTTGCTCAACCATCTCCACATATTCTGTCTTTGATCCTATTATTAATGTAGACTCACATCCATATCCACCTTTCAGACAAGAAGAAGATGAATAAGAAATTCAGGTGATGATCCAGATCTTGCTCATTTAATTTCTTTGCATATACCACTGGTCCAGAATGAGTATATGGACACACCTACACTAAAAAACACTGAGAAAAATATCTCTCTGGGTTATCATCTTTTCAGTAAAACTTGGGGGTACTATTACTAAAGGGAAGAAAGGGGAAATAAATGCAAGAGGGAAATTAGTACTCAAGGCCAAAAAAATGGCAGTTGTGAAAGATAGTGGCACAATTGAATGAAAAACTGCTATTTGCTATGCAAATGCTAGATATTAAAAAATTATACTATTCATATGGCTGAAATAATTTTTTTTCAGATCACATCCATTTCATTGTGCAATAGACTTCTTAAAGAAACTACAGTAGCTTGGTTTTAATATCTCCTATTCCATCAAATACAGGGTCTTCTGAGCAGCTTTCTAGCTCTCCGTAATGGCTTTGCTAGTTCTCTATCTTCATCTCTGAAATAATTTTATTAAGCTCTAAGTAACTTTCACCTATTTCCCCCTTTGTGTTCTTAACCCCAAATTTTTTCTAATACATCCACTTGCTCATCTTTATCACATTCAAAATCTGATTTAAAATTTGCCTTCAGAAGATACCTGATTAACCTTGCATAATTTGCTATTTCTTACATTATCACTTTTTACTACGTTAATTTGCACTTACCTTTAATAATGTTATCAGATTTCAATTTTATATGCTATCTGCCACCTAGAGTGTAAGCTTTTCAGGGACAAGGATAAAGAGTTTTTTGTGTTTTTTTTTTAACACATCTATTACATAAATAATTGTACATACTCCTTTTTTAAAATGTCACTTCCATGAGAAAAACAATAAATTTGTGCAAAAAGCACAGTGTTTGGTGATAAGAGTACCCTTCCCTGATCTGTCATTTAACTAGCTGTGTGTTCTAGGGGAAATAATTTAATTTTTGTGTTGCAATTGATGTTATTCTAATGATAAAGTCTAATGTCTCTTTCAACAGAGAAGTTTCTTAAAAGTTAACTTCTGGGACAATGTCATACTAGTTACTCAGCTTTGTCATTTAGAATGCTCAATAATATCCTGTTTCTATTTAAAGGTTTATATCATTTGTAAATATTTTACATGCATTTGTTTATCATGATATAAGACAGCATTGGTATGGAGAATATCACTGGATGACTTGAATCTGAAAATTTAATCAAATGGAAATTCTAGACCTAAACAATATAGTAAATAATATTACTAAAATTACCAAAAACAAACTATATGCAGGATAAGACTGTATTGGCATAATGAAAGACATATCAATATAAGTGGCATATCTGAAAATCTGGGAAAAATACAAATACATAAAGTAGATTAGGAGTAATGTGGAGAGCTGGACATGCTGGCTCATGCCTGTAGTCCTAGCTGCTCAGGAGGCTGAGGTGGGAGGATTACTTGATCCTAGGAGCTTGAGGCCGCAATAAGTTAGAATCCCACTACCACTGTACTTTGTACTCCAGCCTAAGAGACAGAGTGAGAGACCTTTGTCTCTAAAAAAATAAAAATAAAAAAATAAAATAAAAAAAGAATAATGTAGGAAACAGTGAAAACACATATATTTTATGTCATAGTGAAAAGAAAAGGAGACAGTAAATGGACTAGAAGTAATATTAAATATCTGAAAATTGTCCAAAACTGTTGAAATACATGAACCCACAGATTCATGAAGGTCTACAGATTATCTGCAGTATGAAAAAAAAAAAAATCACCCAAATCACATCACAATAATATTGCCAAAAAACCAAAAATAGAAAACCATTCAAGAAGCCAGATGAAAAAAGAGACTTCCTTTCAAGGGAGAAAAAATAACATCAACTGATGATTTGTTTATCAAAGTAGCTGATGAAAGGTAGAACACACAATAATTGAACTAAATTTTGAAAGAAAATATCAGTTACATTTGAATTTTACTTTCAAGGAAAATAATCTCTAAAAGTGAAGATAATGGTCATGTTTATGATTAGGATGTAGATAGAAAATTGCGATTAACCCTCAATTGCACTCTAACACAGAAAAAATGCTGAAAAAGTTACACCACTATAGTTTTCTCAAATATATCAGAAAGCCAAGGACAAAAAAAATCCAAATGAACTAAACGGTAGAATATGCAACCCCTTTCTAGGAGTTAGAAATTACAATTGCTTTCATCCTTGGTAAAACAGAAGGAAGAAAATGGCCAGAGAACAGGGTAGGAAGAAAACAGTTAAAATTTTAATATTTTTTGATTGAGTGTGGCTTAGGTTAATGTATTGAAATCCCAAGGACCTCTAGCCACAAAACAAAATTACATTAACTACCATTTATTATATTCAGTACTTCACTGAGTACTTGAGAATAATATTAATAATACTGAAAAGTAAGAGGCAGGGTAGGAGAAATGAGAGAAAAATCACTCTGAGGAATTCAGGGCACTCACCAAATGAAAGACAGTTGATGACATGGTAGTAATGCTGAGACGTGATATTGGGAGCTATTTCTTTCTCTGTAGAATTTTCTTCATAACCTTATTTTATTTTAATATATATGTGTGAATTATATTCATAAAATAACAATTCATTTAAAAAAAAGATATCTAGCACTGTCATGAACTTGAAAGTATACTATGTTTTTCTACATAGGTTGACACATGACTGGCCATCCTAACTTCCATCTTAACTTGGTGTACAAACAAAGTTATTCTTTTAGTGATTTGAATTTTTAGAGAGATTTTTTTAGGTCAGATTTTTCCCCTAATTAAACCTCCTGTTTTATCATTTTGAAAATTAATACCAGTTTATAGGGAATGCTAAGAAATGGCTTTTTGTATATTCAAGGCTGACTAAAACATCTGTTTCTTTCATTCTACTCACTTGTCCAATTTTGACTATTGAAATGGAGGCTCTTGA